ATATATATAAAGTTATGAATTAGTTTATGATAAATTTGTCTCTCGAAAAGGTGGTAAAATATGTGTGATTAATTGTTTAAAATGTTGTTAAAATCAATATATAAAAAGCTACCACCTCACAATGATGTCAAACTTTATAGTAAGATTCTATTTTTATATCCAAACAGAGGTTGAGTGAAGATGCACTTGAAATCTTCATTTGTTAAATTTTCACGTATCGTGTTACCAAACTTAGCCCTTGTTTGGGCAACATTAAAAATAGATTTTGGAAAAAAAGGAGGTTTGAAATAGTGATTTTTTTTAAGAGTGCGTGAATTATTATAAGTTTACGTATAATATTATTTTACTGAAAAATGTGTGGTTGAAAATAAGAAGCATAATTTGAAAAAAAAAAAAAGTAGAGCTCAAACAGGGGCTTGATAACGAAGCACAACTAGACTGTGTATAATAATATACCTATATATACCATGGACTAAATAATGAACGTGGAATACATTTGTCATATTTTGTTAAATTGTTTAAATATCCAAATAAATATACTATACTTTGTGTGTAATATTTGTACTACTGTGATTCATTGCTTTGCATTATATATTTCAACATGTAATGTTTCTAATTTTAAATTTGCCAAAAGTAATCAAATTTTCACTATAATATAATTATTTGTTTGAGAAAAACTATCCAAAATGCTGACTGTTCGAAGTTGGATATTGTATCTATCTTTTTTGGTAGACGATGAAGAAGTCACTTGAGTAAGATATTCACATCATCATCATGGCATGTCTATAGTTGTCATGTTAAAGAATGTGTTACTACTAGCGGATCTACAAGTTTTTACACGGACATTGACTTGACATTAATGGAGGGTTGATGGTAAAATTGACGTTGATATATGGCTGATGGGCTCTCTGAAAAGACAAGCGAGGAAGTTGCACCACAATTTTTCAGCATGTTTGTTTCAACATAAGCCAATGAAATTCTTAGAGTTTGTTATTTATTATAAGTTATTATACTCAAATGGTGGATCTTAAGTTCAATTTATATAATTGGCAATTTTAATTGAAAATTTCATTAGTTAAAATCAAATTTTAATTGAGATGTACTAGGTAAGTATTTTGTAATCAAAGTCAAATTAGGATTAGAAAAGTCCAAGTTATGGTAAAATTAGTATAGGATTGATAGAATCCAAAAAGAATGTCAAGATTCGGACTTGAAAAAGTTGAAATCGAGTAGGACGCAATTTCGCTAGTTGTCACCCAACTGACGCTCTAGCAGCAAAAACAGAATCCCTGTCACCCGCCTAATGCTAGACTTGCGCTCGAGCGACAAGTTGACTTCCAGAATCCGGTTTGCTTTGAAACACATTATTTTCATCCCTATTTCAACCCAAACACTTTTCTCATATACACACACACACACACACACACACACACACACGTCTAAAAGTGTGTTGAATTAGATTTTATTCCATAAAGATCAATTCTTTGATGATCCAAAACATTCATTGATACCAAGATTCAATCACCACATATTACTTGATCCATAAATTCATCCAAATCATATTTACACACACACACACACGTCTAAAAGTGTGTTGAATTAGATTTTATTCCATAAAGATCAATTCTTTGATGATCCAAAACATTCATTGATACCAAGATTCAATCACCACATCCTACTTTATCCATAAATTCATCCAAATCATATTTTGTTGATCAAGTCATATAATTGTATATTAAACCACATATCAAAACACACAACATCTTTTGATCAAACACCAAACAATTTAATCCATTAGGGATCGAGGAACTGTTACAGAAACACAAATTTAGGAGGACTAAGGTGAAGTATCAGGAATTGGGATCTGGAAACAGAAGCATGTAATCCAGGAAGGCTAAGGTATAAACTAAGAGTCGAGATTTGTTTTGAAGGAGTGTACATCTAGTAGAATCAAAGGAGATTGTAGGAATTGAGGTCAAAAGTTCTATGAAGTAGACGGGTCTCGGTCGTACTGTAAGTTTGCTTCGATTTATAGTAGATTATTAACTGGTAAAGTGTCTGGACTTTTTACCCAATTGAGGTTTCTCCATGATCATCTTTGGTGTTCTTCACTATTTCAATTATTGATTGTGGTATTCAAATTTAGGATAAATTGACTTGTATAACTAACCATCTAGAAACAATTAAAAAGTAATATACTGCTTTTAATTGTGTAATTTCGCATGTAGGTCTAAATAATTTAAACCTTTCAGTGGATAATTTGTTTTGGTTATTGAGA